TTGGTCGACGGAGTACTGATCGACGATGTGGTACTTGATCCAGCCGTGCTGATCAGCGAGGTGCTGCACGACTCTGCGGTTCTGGAGCCAGTCGACTGGTCTCGGTCGTGGTGTTCAGCGAAGTACTGCTCGACTGTGGTACTCGAGCCAAGTGTGCTGGTACCGGTCGTGCTTGTCGGCGAGGTGCTGCACGACTCTGTGGTGTTCGAACCCGTAGTGCTGGACTCGGTGGTTCTGGTCAGAGAAGTACTGCTCGACAACGTACTGCTCGACTCTGTGGTACTTGAGCCAATCGTGCTGGTCAGCGAGGTGCTGCTCGAATCTAAGGTGCAGGATCCTGTAGTCCTCGACTCGGTCGTGATTGTCAGCGACGTGCTGCGCGATTCTATGATACTTGAGCCAGTAGTGCTGGTTTCGGTCGTGCCTGTTAGAGTGGTGCTGCGCGAGTCCGTGGTGCTCGATCCCGTGGTGGTCGACTCGGTCGTGCTGGTCAACGACATCCCGCGCGCCGACGTGCTGCTCGACTCTGTGGTACTTGAACCGGTCGTACTGGTCAGCGAGGTGCTGCGCGACTCTGTGATAATTGAGCCTGACGTGAAGGTCTCGGTCGTGCTGGTCAGCGACGTGCTGCGCGACTCTGTGGTACTTGAGCCGGTCGTACTGGTCTCGGTCGTGCTGCCCAGCGTGATGCTGCTCGACTCAGTGGTGTTCGGTCCCGTGGTGCTCGACTCGGGCGTGCTGGTCAGCGACGTGCTGCTCAGCGTGGTGCTGCTTGATTCTGTGGTACTTGAACTGGTCGTACTGGTCAGCGAGGGGCTGCTCGACTCTGTGGAAATTGAGCCTGTCGTGCTCGTCTCGGTCGTGCTTGTCAGCTACGCGCTGCGCGACTCTGTGGTGCTTGAGCCGGTCGTACTGGTCTCGGTCGTGCTGGCCAGCGTGTTGCTGCTCGACTCCGTGGTGATCAATCCCGTAGTGCACGATTCAGTCGTGCTGGTCAGCGACGTGCTGCTCGACGACGTACTGCTCGATTCTGTGGTGCTTGAGCCAATCTTGTTTGTCAGCGAAGTGCTGCACAACTCTGCGTGCCCTCAGAGAGGGATGGAAGCCCTGGGCAGGGCGGGCGAAGAGTACGGCAGGAGAAACAGGCGGAACGCAGCTAAACGATGCAGCAATGGGAGATGGAGGCGCATGGACAGACATGGAACGCAGCTACCGCTGCAGCTCGGGGATGTGAGGGCACATGGACAGCGGATGCGGGGAAGTGCACGCCAGGCGCGGTCGGCACCCCGGAGTGGCAGCTAACCGCTGCAGCATTAGGATGCAGGAGGGGGGGAAGAGACGGGCACAAGAAGGAAGCCAGAAGAGATAATGGTGGAACATTTACCCGTTGTGGGGAGGGCAGCACGCCAGGCTGTGGAACATTTACCTGGTGTGACGAGGGGAATGATGGAACATTTGCCCGGTGTGGAGAGGGAGGAGGAAAATGGTGGACTTCCCGGCGTGGGGAGGGCAGCACGCCAGGCTGGCTCCCAGGGCCGTGGTAGACACTCCAGGCCTAAAGCGGAACGGGTCAGCGTAGGTGGGGGCCCCAAGACGCCGCCGCGCCCACGGGAACGTAGACCGACGTCCTCTCGTGCTTGGCGCGAGCACGCACGAAAGCGAAGATGACGTGCACGGGTGCGATGTAGGGCTGGGCTCTGCCTTTGCCAAGCTTCTGGTAGTCGATAGTGTGCAAGGCTACCCGGGGACGAGCGAATGACGCCCCGAACGCGCTCGATTAGAGAACGGCGGCTCATTGCGGTGAGGGCCAGTTCGAAATAGTCGTGGCAGTCTGGGTGTTTCCCCGTGAGCGCTAGGAGGCAGCGGAGGACGCCGGGCTCGTGGCGCGCGGGATCGTAAGGGCCAGGGCCCCCCATCGCTCTGTTGGCGCGACAGAAGTCGCGCCACTGGTGTGCCCCCCCCCGTCCTTTGCCACGCCTTGACCCGCCCCGCGAGGGCCGGCGGGTCGTCCGCGGGCGCCCCGGCCCCCGAGGCAGACTCGTCAGGCGACTGCTCCGCTGCTTGGCCCGCGTCCAGGTCTGCGCTCGTGAAAGACCCGCTCGCATCGGGGAACGAGGGCGTCGTGAGCGATGCGTCCAGGCCCGCCCCGTCTCCGCGGGCAGGCGGCGCGCGCGGGGACGGCTGGGCCAGCGCAGTTCGGACAATTGGTCGCCATCGGCTGGAGGAGTCAGCGGCGGGTGGCGGCCAGGGGCCCCCGTCGCCCCGTGGCCCCGCGCGGTCCGTCGAAGGCGACGCCAGTGCAGGGCTGATCTCGCGGGCCAAGCCCGCCCGCCGAGGCGGCGCATCCCCGTTTGCAGCGGGCGGGGCCTGCAGCGGGCTGGTCGCATGCTCGGGAACGGGGGCCCCTGGTGGACGCGGGGAGGAGGGGCGGAGAGCAGCGAATCGCCCTCTGTCCACCATTCGCTGGACTGCGGCCTCGTCTTCCGAGGTCCCGTTGTCTCTTTCCACCGTTATGCCCAGGTCGTCCTCCGGGATGCTCTCGCTCTCCTCGTCCTCACACTTCTCCTCCAGGGACTCCTCCGCCGCTCCCTCGATGGTCTCCTCCCCAGCGGTGGGCTCCCCTTCCTGCTGCGACTCGCAACTATCTTCGCACTCTTCCCGGTGGAGGCGACTGATTGTCGCAGAGCCTGTTGGAATCCGAGGCAGCTGGGTGTCCCCAGGGGTCGTGTCGCCAATGGGTTGTGTTGGACGGTCGGCAAGGTCCTCTCTGTCTTCTCCCTGGCCGCGGGGCAGGCCGTCGGGCTGGCCGTGGGACCAGCCGTGGGACTGGCCGTAGGGCTGGCCGTGGGACGGACAGTCGGGCTCGCCGTGGGGCTGTCGGTCGGGCTGGCCGTGGGGCCGGCCGTGGGGCTGGCCGTGGGGCTGGAAGTCAAGCTGGCCGTGGGACTGGCCGTGGGGCTGGTCGTGGGGGTGGCCGTGGGGCTGGCCGTGGGGCCGGCAAATGGGCTGGCCGTGGGACCGGCCGTGGGGCTGGCAGCCGGGCTGGCCGTCAGGCTGGCCGTGGGGCTGGCAGTTGGGCTGGCCGTGAGGCTGGCCGTGGGTCTGGCCGTGGGGCTGAACGCGGGGCTGGCAGTCGGGCTGGCCACGGGGCTGGCCGTCGGGCTGGCCATCGGGCTGGCCGTCCGGCTGGCCGTGGGGCTGGCCGGTCCGGCCGCGGGACTGGCCGCGGGGCTGGCAGTCCGGTCGGCCGTCGGGCTGACAGTGGGGCCGGCCGTGGGGCTGGCCATGGAGCTGGCCGCCGGGCCGGCATTCGGGCTGGCCACGGGGCTGGCCGTCAGGCGGGCCGTGGGGCTGGCAGCCGGCCAGGCCGTGGGGCTGGCAGTCGGGCTGGCCGCGGGTCTGGTCGCCAGGCTGGTCGTGGGGCTGGCCGTTGGGCTGGCCGTCGGACTGGCCGTGGGGCTGGCACTTGGGCTGACCGTGGGGCTGGCAGTCGGGCTGGCCGACGGGCTGGCCGTGGGGCTGGCAGTCGGGTTGGCCATGAGGCTGGCCGTGGGGCTGGCAGTCAGGGGGCCGTGGGGCTGGCCGTGGGGCCGGCCGCGGGGCTGGCAGTCGGGCTGGCCTCGGGGCTGGCCGTCGGGCTGGCCGTCCGGCTGGCCGCGGGGCTGGAAGGGCTGGCCGTGGGACTGGCAGTTGGGCTGGCCGTAGGGCTGGTCGTGGGGCTGGCAGTCGGGCTGGCCGTCGGGCTGGCCGTGAGGCTGGCAGTCGGGTTGGCCGTGGGGCTGGCCGTAGGGCGGGCTGGCCGTGGGGCTGGCCGCGGGGCTGGCAGTCAGGCTGGCCGCGGGGCTGGCCGTCGGGCTGGCCGTGCGGCTGGCTGGGCTGGCCGCGGGACTGGCCGTGGGGCTGGCAGTGGGGCGGGCCGTCGGGCTGGCCGTGCAGGCCGTAGGGCTGGTCGTGGGGCTGGCCGCGGGGCTGGCAGTCGAGCTGGCCACGGCGCCGCCGCGCCGCCGCAGTCTCCATCACCCCGGCCCGAGCGCCAGGGGCGGGCTCGAGCCGAGACGGCTTGAGCCAGAGGGGGCGTGAGACAGTGGGGCTACGGACTGGTGGGGACACTCGAAGCGTGAAGAATGTTAGACATTGAAAGGTGCCCGAATCCTATCACATGTATATGGTTGCAGTGCTGTCGTTTCACTGCCTCTTCTCTCGTCCTGGCAAGGCATCTCCCCAGTTTGATGGCTATGGGGTTCGCTCTCCCCCTCCTCCTCCTCCTCCTCCTCCTCTTCCTCCTCCTCCTCCTCCTCCTCCTCCTCATGCTTCTGCTCCTCCTCCGTGTGTTTGGTCAATCCCCAAGGGGGCCAGCTGAAAGGGGGATGATGCAAAATGTTTGGGGCAATTGTTTTGCAAATGCTCGCGCCAGATAATTGTATCGCATTGTATTGCAACTCGTGTATTGCACGCGAAACGCCCAGCAATACATTTGCGCACCGGAATGTACTGCACGCCACAAGTGTATTGCAGCCCCACGAATCTATTGCACCAGATCTAGTGCACCACCCCCCTGTCGCTGGACCCCTTTTTCGGTTGACCAGGGTCATATTCTCCTCTTCTGCCTCCTCCTCCTCCTCCTTCTCTTCTGCCTCCTCCTCTAGGGGCATAGGCTTGATCTCTGGGGACATCGACTTGAGCTTCGCTCTTCGGCTCCTCCTCCTCCTCCTCCTCCTCCTCCTCCTCGTCCTCCTCCTCCTCCTCCTCGTCTTCCTCCTCTTCCTCCTCGTGTTCCTCTTCCTCCTCCTCCTCCTCCTCCTCCTCGTCCTCCCTCGTCTTCCTCCTCTTCCTCCTCGTCTTCCTCCTCGTCCTCCTCCTCCTCTTCCTCCTCCTCCCTCCTCCTCCTCCTCCGCTCCTCCTCCTCCTCCTCCTCCTCCTCCTCCTCCTCCTCCTCCTCCCCCTCCTCCTCCTCCTCGTCTTCCTCCTCTCCCTCGTCTTCCTCCTCTCCCGCGGCTCACCTCCACGTGCCATACCTTCGGCCGCCAGCCCGCGGCCGACAGGGCCGCCGCGAGCTCGCAGTCTGGCCCGTCCACGTCCACCTCTCCCCCGGGCGCTGCCAGAAGGGGGCGGCCCTGGCCCGAGCTGGGCTTCGGTCGGGCATGTCTCCCTAAAGCAGGATTCTGTCAGGGGGGCGTAAGACCCGGGTACAAGGGACTCGGACATCCCCGACGAGGTCGTCAAAAAAATGACGAGGCCGAGCCGGCATTTTGACGAGGCCTCCCGCTGCAGACATCCCACGAAACTCCTACTCGTCAAAATCCGAGTCGCGGTCGTCAAAAAACGATGGCGAACCCGAGTCCTGGCAAACCCGGGTCTTACGCTCCCCCGATTCCGGGCGACAACTCAAAAATACCCCCAACATTTTCAAACATACAGGCTCGGACAAAAATAGCGAACACTCGTGCCACATTCATCTGACAACGCCTCATCCTCCCCCCAATGTTCAAAGTTGGCGGTAGGTCTGATGAGTTGCACCTCGACCGCAGTCCCCCCCTCGCGTGCCAACTTTGAGTTTTGGGGACAGGGGGGGGTGCTCACTAATTGTTCCCCTCTGCCGTAGCCAAAAAATCAAAAAAATACTCAAAAAAGGTTCCCGAACTATTTTGCGTATTTTTGAATGCTCCCCCTGTCGAGGGACCGGCCCGACTTCACCCCCTGGCCCGAGATGAGCCCAGCTTTCCCCTAGTATAGGGGGGCGCAGGAGGCGTCCAGAGGCTCCCTTTCGCGAGGCCCGGCGTGCCCCAGAGAGGTCCAAGCTGGCACAAAAAAACCAAGGCACCGTGTGCCGGGACCACTTCTGTCGGGCGTTGGCAGAACTGGGTTTACTGGGACCTGGTTCAGTGATGTGTACTGGGGCGTCCCCCCGCCCCGTTCCGCTAACCGGAACTGCCGTCACCCGAAGAAACAGCAGCTACGGCAGACCTGGTTTAGTCACTAAACCAAGTCTGCCGTTGCGTGAGGGCCGTTCGAGAAGCCATTTAAAGCTAATGGCGCGTCCGCCACCAAAACCCATGGCGCGGGGGCCTATTGCCATAGTCTTAGAAAGTTCGTCCTGAGTTTAGTGACTCTGGCCAATTTAGGGGCTCCAGGGCCCTATCATTAAGTCGGGTTTGTCCCCCTACAGGGGGATTTTCGACGAAAAATGAAAAATACCCCCAAAATAATGAACAAATATTACAAAAATAGTCGGGGGAATATCTTTTGAGTATTTTTTTTGACATGTTTGTGGCATGTCGGGGGTATTGTTTTATCATCCGTCGAAAATCCCTCTGTATGGGGGGCACGCCCGACACAAATTTGGGGGCTCCACGGCCCTGTCACTGGCCGGGCCCCCTTGCATGGCGCCCTGGCCGTACCCGATTTCCTGGCTGGCGCGGCGGGGGCGGGGCCGGAGGGCAGCGGGTCCCGGACCCCAGGGCCTTCCCTTGTGTCGGGCGTGTCCCCCCTACAGGGGGGATTTTCCGCGGAAAAAAAAACAGACCCCCAAAATACCCCCAAAAAGGTCAAACAATATTCAAAACATAGTCCCCAGACTATGTTTGGACTATTGCTTTGGGATTTTTTCTTTTTCGTCGAAAATCCCCCTGTATGGGGGACAGGCCAGACATAAGCCTTCCCTCGGGAGCAACCCAGAGCACCCGCCGATACACAAAAAAACATTGAGCTAAGATCGTATCTTTTGTCCTACAAAAATAACATCGGATATTGATATTCGCAGCACGAGTGGTACATACATGTTGAGTAGTTAAAATCAGCGGTCTACATCTCATCATCCTCCTCCTCCATCCTCTCCTCCTCCTCGCGCTCTCTCTCGGGCGCGGGGGCGGCGCACCAGGCGCGGGGCGGTGGGGCGGCGGGACGACGAGCTAACTCTTCCTCCCGATGAACTGACAGTCCTGGGGCCCGTGGAGGGCCCCGGGACGCCAGCCTCAGGACCCGTTCTCCGCGATCCGACGCCGTGAAAAACACATTTCGAAGCATCACTCATGGACCCTATCTTTCTGCGTCATTCGTCGAGCCAAATCGACATGTGATTGACCTGGGCTCAAAACTGTGTGAACACGCCCGTGGTGAGAAATTGCGACACCCAGATCTCGGGGTCCATCAAGGCGTTCTAGCGACACACGAACATTGGTCAGACCTCCGGCGTAGGGAAGTCCCAACCCTCCGACGTCATTCCTGGACAGTCCTGGTGCCCGGCGCGAAGCGCCAAAAGCTGCCGAAAATGGCAAGATCTCCCGCTGCGCATTTTCCACGACGCGAGGGCGTCTGGGTTGCATACATTTCCCTAGCTTCGTCATCACGTGGCGGCGAGGGCCCGAAAACGTCCAAGAACTGTCCGTCGTGACTTGTTCACGGCGAGAGGACTGAAATCGCCGCGGGGGGTGCTAAGTGGATAGGCGAGTAATGAATCGGAAACCAAGGTGGGCCACATCAGGCCTAACCTAGGCTGGCTTATAAGTGGGCTGCAGGTGCCCTACGTGGCGAAGTGGGTGCAAAAATCCTGGCTCAGTGGGCTCCGCCCACTTCGCGAAGTCGTGCAATCGCCCTGACCCTCTCAGGGCACACCTGTAACCTCTGCCTGTTGGCCAGGTGTGGGCCAGATATGACTCACATTGGCATCGCTTTACACACCCTTTATCCACTTAGCGACTCCCGCGGCGATCCCAGGAGGTAGGATAAAACGACGCGAAGATCGGGACAAAATCGGATCGGGATAACCCGAACTCTCTGAGAATCGGCGGGTTTGGAGGATGTATTGGGCGCCGCGGCCGCTCCAGAGCGTTCCGGAACGCTCTGAGAGCGCTCCGGAACGCTCTGGAGCGATCTATCCCGATCCTAGCCCTGTTTTATAGGAGGGAGCCTTGATCAGGTCGAGCTCGTCCTGCCACCGCACAGGGGGGCCGGGCCGCTGCGCCAGCACGGCCGCCAGGCGCTCCGAGACAGTGGACGGCACCGCCGGCTCCATCACCACCTAGCGTTAGGTCGGGCGTGTCCTCCTACAGGGGGATTTTGAACGAAAATCCAAAAATATCTAAAAACAATGAGAAATGGCAAACGATACTAAAAAAAATTGTCCCTGACTATTTTTAGCAATACTTTTGCATACTCCTCCTGTAGAGGGACAGGCCCGACGTAAACCTGGCGGGTTGCGGGAGGCTTTTGGTCGTTTTCGGCCTCGGGTGCCCCTCGCTGGGACCCGGAGCCCGTCCATCCACGACTCGCGATAAAAAACCGGCCCTCCTCCTCCTTCTCCTCCTCCTCCTCCTCCTCCTCCCCACCCCCGTCCTCCCCCCCTCCTCCTCCTCCTCCTCCTCCTCCTCCTCCTCCTCCTCCTCCTCCTCCTCCTCCTCCTCCTCCCTCCTCCTCCTCCTCCTCCTCCTCCTCCTCCTCCTCCTCCTCCTCCTCCTCCTCCTCCTCCTCCTCCTCCTCCTCCTCCTCCTCCTTCCCCACCCCCCCCTCCCCCCTCCTCCTCTTCCTCCTCATCCTCCTCCTCATCCTCCTTGTCCTCCTCCTCCTTGTCCTCCTCCTCCTCATCCTGCTGGGGACCCCATATTGGTAAAAAAGAACGTGCATGTCTGGGAGGGCAACTTTTATTTCGGCCATTTTTCGCCGACCTCCCGCCGAGGAAGAGGCCCTGAGATCCGGGCGTTTTTTTCCGCAACGGGCGTGTGCTCTCGCCAGAGTGCGGGCCCCAGGACCCTCACAGCTCGAGACGGCTCGACAAGTGGCGCAGAAAAAAATATGGTCTGCGCGAATGATCTTTCGCCATGCTGTTCCCTGATGGTCCGCTACCGAAAATTTCCGGTAGCGCTCCGCAGAGATCGGTCGCTACCGAAATACCGAAATGTAGCGCCCAATACCGGTATCAGAGCGTTCTGAAATCCGCTATTTCAGCGCCCTCAAAAGAAGATCCGGTCGCTACCGAAATTTGGGGTGCGTCGAAATCGCTACCGAAAATTTCCGGTACCAGACCATCTGGGTTTGTTTCGCAACGCCGGATCTCGGGGAACGGGTCCCGAGGCTGGCCTCCCGGGGCCCTCCACGGGACCCGACGGTCAGACAGCTCTTCGGGCTGAAGGACTACTTTCTGGGAGAAGGCCCTGGGGGTCCAGGGCCCGCTGCCCTGAGGACCCGCTGACAAGCGTGTTCGGAAGGTCGGGCATGTCCTCTTACAGGGCGTTTTCGGAAGAACGGTCAATACAGAATCAGAAACAATCAAAAGAGAACAAGACATCGTCCATTTTCTCCGTTCTTGAGCATTCTCCCTGGAGGGCGCCTTGCCCGACCCAGTGAACCGTTATGCCAACCAGACGCGGTCCTGGCCCACGGTGTCCTGGCTTGCTGTATCCTCTTGGGCCCCTGGGGCCCCCCGGGCCTCGCGAGGGGCCTCTGGTCGGGGGCGGCAAAGAGAGGGGTTGCAAAGAGGGGGGGGTGCAAATCATGACCGGCGGCATGTGCGCGGCCCAGCGGGGGGGCCAGGGACGTAATGAAACAAGAAGAGGCGCCATGAGATCTGGGGAAATATCATGGCCCACGCCATGACATCCCCCCCCCAAGTCATCCCCCCCCTCTTTTCCGCCCCCGATCTGGAAGAAGCCTGCGCCTCCCCAGGAAGGCTGTGCTCCCACCCCCGGCCGATGGCACCCGCTTCGGCCTCCAGCCTGGGGCCTCGTGGGGGGGGCGCGTTCGGGAGGCCACCCGCGCTTCCCTGGGAAGGCTGGGGCCACCTGGAGGGCCAGGACCTTCCGGGGACGTCACGTCGGTCCAGGGAGTAGCGGCATCGCATCCGTACCCTTTTGGTTTCCCCACGGAGGGCCAGCATCTCTGGGGACATCACGCGCATCTCTGGGGACATCGACTTGGGATTCGCTCGTCGGCTCCTCTTCATCCTCCTCCTCCTGCTCCTCCTCCTCCTCCTGCTCCTGCTCCTGCTCCTGCTCCTGCTCCTCCTCCT